TATATATATATATATATACTGTATATATATATACACACACACACACACACCAGAGGCTGAGCCACAGTAAACGTGGCATGCATATATATATATATATATATATATATATATAATTTTTATATATATTATATATTTTATATATAAAATATATCATATATTTTTTAGATATACTTTATATACAAATATATGCATTTTTGTGACATTATTTTCATGACAATTTAGCATATTTTACCTCCCAAATCAAATGAAAAAATTATTTTATTAATTTATTCATTTTATAAATTCAATTTTAATTTTGAGACATTATTTTCATTATAAAAAAAATATTAAAATGTGTTTTATTATCATGAAAATATTGTCACAAAATTAAAATTTTTATTTTTTGCATTTAAAACATCCCCAAATTTTAACTGTCGTAATCAAGGGGTCAGAGTTCAGCTAATTCATTCTTTCTTTTGATTTGAGAGTAAAATATGACGAAGACATATTTCATGAGATTCACCCTTGGATTGATCTAATCTGCAAAGAAAACTGAAGGGTTAGCAATCAAACTAAAAGACTAAAAGTAACTTGGGACTTGAGAAAGACAACCACTGTTACCCAAAACAAAGACTCTTGACAGGTAAAGAGAGACACACTAATGGATGAAATAAAGGCTATTACTTGATGCTATAAACTCTGTTCAGTCAGCAAACACAATGCTTTTCCTGCGTACCGAAACCCTGTCTTACTGACACAGGAAGCTCTAGCTGACACTACACACTTAAAAACTGCTCTGAAGGGTGAGACGATCTCACCACCCACAACGAGAGCGAGCATCAGGAGAGACAGAGAGATGGTGAAACAGAAAGACTGAGCCTGAGACGAGAAAAAAGAGAGGTAAGACTGGCAGGCGGCCCTGGAAAGGCTGCGGCGCTGCGGCGGACTGGAGTGTGTTTTTTGGCAGTTGTGTGGTGAGATAGGCTGAAGGAAATGTACCGGTGTGCGAGGAGAGGGAGTCAGCCTGTGTAGGCGTGTGCTGCTGATTTACTGAGAGTGAACGTGTGTGTGTGTGTGTGTGTGTTGTAAAACTGGAACATACAAAGCCGTTTTTCTAGTTCTTCCACACCAAGATTCTTCAACTCCCTTGTTTTGGGGGCCAAATTGAAGGTGGACAAACACTTTTCAGAGTCATTACTATAGATCTGGACATTAAAAACTAATCTAAACACCCTTAATAATGGGTTTACTTACATTAAAATAGTCAGATTTAAAAATCTAACATTGTTTTCCTTAAAAAACTGACAGATGACAAACTTTGATGTTAGCTTGACAAAGTCAGGTTCTGAAAGTTTAAAGCTACTTTGAAAACCTTGAAGTTTGAAAAATTTTCTCAGAGAATAAAGTCAATAAAATGTCCCTAACATGATTTAGCACATTGCTAGCATCCGTTAACACACTGCTAGCATGTTTTAACAAATTGCTAACATGTTTTGGCAAGTCGCTAACATGTTTTAACATTTTGCTATGACATGCATTAGTATGTTCCTAGCATTATTTAACACATCGCTAACATCTTTTAACATGCTGCTAACATGCATTAGCATGTTCCTAGCATTATTTAACACATCGCTAACATCTTTTAACATGTTGCTAACATGTTTTTAACATTTTGCTAATATGAATTAACATGCTCCTAACATGTTGTAACCCGCATTGCGTTGGGGTCCTGATCACCTTGTCGGGGGTTATTCTGCGATAACCACCGGCTGGATGTACATTATCCCGCTTATTACATTGCTACTTGCCACATAAGTAAATATTTAGACAAAATATTGATTTGAAATATCTGAACGCAAAGCTTTCGTGAAGACAGCAGTTGCGAGCAAGCGGCAAGTTCAAACTAGACGGACATTTAAGGGATACGGTGCAGCCATACCACTTATTACACAACATTTCACCACATAATTATGGCAATAAAAGATATTGATTTAAGACAAAACTCTTACCAGTATGTTAGTTATCTTATAATCCATTACAATTTACAAAACAATTGTCGCAAAATGACAGCAGCTGCGTTTGTATGAAATGAGAGAGCGAGTCCACGATACCAGGACAACATAATTAAATAATTGTACACATAATATTGAATTGAGTTTTTATATTTTATTAGCTAACCAAATGCAAATGTTTCTAGCAAGCGTATAGCGCCGACTTCTGTTATCCGGATGAGCCTGTGTTATCAGCTTTTACCGGTTGTTATCGAGGGATAACATACCTCGGAATGTCATGACTGTCCAATCAGAATCAAGTATTCCACAGAGCCGTGTAATAACATGAATTAACATGTTGCTAATATGATTTGACATGATTACTATCATCTTTAAGCATGTTTCTAATCTTTAAAAAATTTTAAAAAATTAGGAAAAAACAGACTTTCTTTTATCTCTAGAGCAAGTGCGATTCTCAGATATTTCAACAGATAATTTGATTTCATTATAACTTGATCTGATGATGAAATGAGCCACATCCGTTCAACTAAATTATCTGTTATTTTTCATCATCTACCAAATATGATACATTTCCTGTAATGGACGCAATCAAAAATGATGCACCTCTCTGAACCATAGACTGAACCTCCAACTCTGTTCCAAATACAACCACTGCTGAACTCCTCTCTGGTCGCACAGCAATTTCATCAATATCAATTGAAGGGCAATAAAAACGCTTGATGGCTGATTTGGCCCACAGGCGGCTAGTTGAAGAGCCCCTAGACTAACACGGTTTGGTTCACTAATATAACGTAAAAAGATTCTGCAAGACAGAAAATTCACAGATGGGACCTTGCTAAAGAAGTTATAAGGAATCCAATTTTTCTTGATCTTTTGAGAAAGAAAAGTTCAACTATGAAAACATAGAGTAACTTCCAGAGCTCAAAACTTTTAGAATTTATTGGAGCCAAGCTGCAGAAATGACTAATTCTGAAATCCTAACAAATCTTTAAAGAGGTCATATGATGCGATTTCAAGTTTTCCTTTCTCTTTGAAGTGTTACAAGCTCTTGGTGCATAAAGAAGATCTGTAAAGTTGCAAAGACTAAAGTCTCAAATCCAAAGAGATATTCTTTATAAAAGTTAAGAGTCAACCACGCCTACCTAAAACGGCTC